TGAGTGTGGCTGCTTGTACTAGTCCGGACTGATGCCGATTTATAGTGCTAGCTCACTGAGTCATCCCCACTCAGAACACCCCACTCAGACAGATGAACACCCCACTCAGACATATGAACACACCCACTCAGACACATGAACACCCCACTCAGACATATGAACACCCCACTCAGACACATGAACACCCCACTCAGACATATGAACACCCCACTCAGACATATGAACACCCAACTCAGACACATGAACACCCCACTCAGACACATGAACACCCCACTCAAACATATGAACACCCAACTCAGACACATGAACACCCAACTCAGACACATGAACACCCAACTCAGACATATGAACACCCCACTCAGACACATGAACATCCCACTCAGACACATGAACACCCCACTCAGACACATGAACACCCCACTCAGACACATGAACATCCCACTCAGACACATGAACACCCCACTCAGACACATGAACACCCCTCTCAGACACATGAACATCCCACTCAGACATATGAACACCCCACTCAGGCATATGAATACCCCACTCAGACACATGAACACCCCACTCAGACACATGAACACCCCACTCAGACACATGAACACCCCACTCAGACACATGAACACCCAACTCAGACATGAACACCCCACTCAGACATATGAACACCCCACTCAGACATATGAACACCCCACTCAGGCATATGAACACCCCACTCAGACACATGAACACCTCACTCAGACATATGAACACCCCACTCAGGCATATGAACACCCCACTCAGACACATGAATCCCCCACTCAGGCCACTCAGACATATGAACACCCCACTCAGACACATGAACACCCCACTCAGACACATGAACACCCCACTCAGACACATGAACACCCCACTCAGACATATGAACACCCCACTCAGACATATGAACACCCCACTCAGACACATGAACACCCCACTCAGCCCACTCAGACACATGAACACCCCACTCAGACATATGAACATCCCACTCAGACACATGAACACCCCACTCAGATACATGAACACCCCACTCAGACACATGAACACCCCTCTCAGACACATGAACACCTCACTCAGACATATGAACACCCCACTGAGACATGAACACCCCACTCAGACACATGAACACCCCACTCAGACACATGAACACCCCACTCAGACACATGAACACCCACCTCAGACACATGAACACCCCACTCAGACATATGAATACCCCACTGAGACATATGAACACCCCACTCAGACACATGAACACCCCACTCAGACACATGAACACCCCACTCAGACACATGGACACCCCACTCAGACACATGAACACCCCACTCAGACACATGGACACCCCACTCAGCCCACTCAGACATATGGACACCCCACTCAGACACAGGAACACCCCACTCAGACACATGAACACCCCACTCAGACACATGAACACCCCACTCAGGCACAGTATTCTGACTCCGAGCTGACCAGTCCTTGTTTGAGCCCTCTAATGGTGAGCGCCATGCAGGGTAACAACAAGTACCATCTTTTAAGGTCTTTTGGTATGATGCATCCAAACCACCCACCTTCTGCTCTCAGGGTGTAAGCTCTATCTATTACAATACAATTCTGTAAGTCTGTTATGGTTATGGTACTAAGCATACTATATGAGTATAAGAATTTCATGGTATTGGACATTGGAATGAAATGTGAGCAGTTTTTAGCCAATCAGATGTCAGCTTTCACAAACGACTAAGTTTCAGTTCTTTACCACCTCAATTTGAAGTTTTTATCTTCACAAAAGAAAACAGAAGATGAGGTGAGGTGAGATGGGGTTTGACGTCTCATTCAAGATGATTACCTCTATACAACAACATTCATGTATGTGCGTGTTTGGGGCTGCTTGTACTAGTCTGGACTCATGTCTGTTCAATAGTGCTAGCCCACTGAGCAGTATTAACATGGATACCCCACTCAGACACATCATTCTCTGAGATGACCAGTCCTTGTTTTATATACCTTTATATGCCAAGCGCCAGGCAGGGAAACAATAAGTACTTGTATGACACGGCTGGGGATCAAACCATGACCTTCCTCTAAGGAAAGAGAACTCCAGGAAGCCAGCACAATGTATGTGGTGTGGTGTTCACAGCAATATAGTTTCACTGTTTGAAGTCACAAAATTAAACCATGATATATGAACAGATATAAAAACATTATAATCACATTAGGGGGCACGGGTGGCCCAGTCGTCTTAGACGCCGCAATTCGCTCTGCAGAGTTGCGTCCCTTGGGCACGCGAGAAACCTATGATTGTGGGTTCGAATCCCGGTTCGCCCCAATTATGTTTCTAGGTTTGTCAGTTCCATACCCGTGCTCGTGGGTTTCACCGAAGTGGTAAACGTCGGAGACCTGCATCACTTCGGGCTTTCCTCCCACATTAAGCTGACACGCCGTGAAATAACTGAAATAATGTTAAAAGTGGCGTTAAACCCAACTCACCCACTCACTATAATCACATTAGTGAGTGAGTGAGTGAGTATGGTTTTACGCCGCTTTTAGCAATATTCCAGCAATATCACGGCGGGGGACACCAGAAATGGGCTTTACACATTGTACCCATGTCGGGAATCGAACCCGGGTCTTCGGCGTGACGAGCGAACGATTTAACCACTAGGCTACCCGACCGCCCCTAATCACATTAGCAATTGTTCTTGGCACGTGTCATTTGACATAATTTTGGAAGTATATAAACATTGGATAGTTCTGTACCTAGAATCTGTGTAAAGCTTTTACTGTCACAATGATTCATCCAAGCAGGTGTTCAACGACAGCTATGATTCCACATGAATCACGATGAATTCATGATGTTCGAGAACACTTGGTAACAAGAAGGGTGATCATGTTTTATAAAACACATTTCAACAATTTCTCTCAAAACATGCTATTGAAGCATGACACATTTTCTCCTCCATAAATAAGTTGAAATTTCTGAAGTTTCTGGGAGTGCATTCCCCAACATGTGTTAGAGTTATTTCCTTATGTTCAGTGCTGGAGGCAGTTTTCATGGCCACTCATGTACAAACATCATCAAACACTCAACCAGGCTGTAACGTTCTGTGTGAACTGCAGCCTCATCAGACTCAGTCTTGCTGACAGGCCACCGAGTGAGTGAGTGAGTGAGTGAGTGAGTGAGTGAGTGAGTGAGTGAGTGAGTGAGTGAGTGAGTGAGTGAGTGAGTGAGTGGGTGAGTGGGTGGGTGGGTGGGTTGGTGGGCGAATGACTGAGTGAGTGAGTGAGTTGGTGGGTGGGTGGGTAGGTGGGCGAGTGAGTGAGTGAGTGAGTGGGTGGGTGGGTGTTTGAGTGTTTGAGTGAGTGAGTGAGTGAGTGAGTGAGTGAGTGAGTGAGTGGGATGGTGCCTGAGTGGGATGGTGGGTGAGTGAGTAGGTGAGTGATGCCATTTTGAACAGGGTTTCATTTATATAATGAAGTGCCAGTGGTAAAAAAGCCGAAAGTGGAGCATGCATTGGATGTTTACAACATGAAACCCATGAGCACGGACTAACCTTGATAATTAATCAAGGGCAATCCAGGAGTCAAACCCACTCTACCCAACAAATTGCAGAGCCTCAGATGATTCGGCCACTCATGCTCCCGACTTTACAGTGGAGGTGAGGTGAAATAGGGATTAACATTAAGATTATTGCAGCACTTGTACAGCAACATGCATGCACCTGTCTGTCTGTCTGTGTGTGTCTGTCTGTGTGTCTGTGTGTCTGTCTGTGTGTCTGTCTGTCTGTCTGTCTGTGTGTGTGTGTGTGTGTGTCTATCTGTGTGTCTGAGTGTGTGTGTGTGTGTGTCTCTGTGTGTGTGTGTGTGTGTGTCCTTGTGTCTGTCTATGTGTCTGTCTGTGTGTGTGTGTGTGTGTGTGTGTGTGTCTCTGTGTGTGTGTGTGTGTGTGTGTGTGTGTGTCCTTGTGTCTGTCTATGTGTCTGTCTGTGCACTGGTATGACCAGCTGTATTTACAAGCTGTACACAATCTACCCGAAAATTAAAACTCTTTGCTTCTTCTTTTTTATCATTATCCGTTTCTGATACGGCATAGGCCATCTATACTGTCCAAAAAAAGTTAGGGATCATGAACATTTTTGTGGATATCTTGTTGTAGTTAAGACTGAGCACACAATTTAATAAAAATGTCCCAAAAATATACATGATCTCTAACTTTTTGTTATCAGTTTATTTGGCAACCATTTTGATGATGCAACCATTTGCCTTTTTCAGATGAAAGGATGATTGGCATTATTACAATCAGCCCGGCAAGGTGTCAGACCACTCTTGGAGTCTTGGACCTCACTTCGGTTGTCAGAATGACACATTTGGCATCAATAAGTTCCTGCCTGGCTCCCCTCCATGAGTCAATCATTCAAACACTGAGTCCACTTTCCAAACATTGCCTTCTTTTCATTGATTATTTATTTACTTATTTAGACAAGGTGTTAATGTTCTGTTACTAAATCTGAACCCAGGGGTGTCACTAATTTGATATTTTAGTATCCATATATCGATTCAAAAGTATCACGATATATCCATAATATTGATTCCTCTTTATTAATGTAAAATTAGTTATTCCGTATAAATTTCCTATGAAGTCCTGCAATTAATCAACGTGACATGATATACAAACTAGTAGGATCCCTTAATTATTTAGAGTTGAGTTTTCTTCTTTCTCTTGTCCATCTTCACCATGGTAATATTAAAAAATATAAACGTTTCAGTGGCAGTGAATTATTGATTTCGTATCGATGTTCATACATTTTTACCCTGATATACAATGACATCCCTTTCTGCACTCCACTTGACATTGTCTAAATTCATCTTGAATTTGGCTCCTGGGAAAGAGGCTGAAAGAAAGAATTTAACTTGTTGTCCATGGTAACTGGTATTCAACATGGCCCTCACTGGCACACTGACTTAGGTTCCGCTTGATTCGGTCTTCCACTCACCTGACCCATGTCCGAAATGCATTTGTCGTTCTCTTGAACAGGTAGCCCTCCATCTTGTCCGATTCTTCTTGCTGGGCACTGTTCTCTGGGATTTCCTGCAACAAATTCACACTGTTACTACATGCCAGAAACATGTAAACTTCTTATGTGTGGTAAGACCTTCAAATTGGCCAGCTGAAATGGTGTTGGAAACATGACCAGAAAAAAACCAAATTCAAAATGGATAGAACAGTTGTTCGATTTAGTTGATGTAAACTTGTGCTATGTCAGATGACTGCCATTGACTCGCAAAAATCCACGTGCAGCCTGTCTTGATCATGGCGGGGTATAAGAGATTTATTCACCAGGTGAGAAATTTATTTCCCTCCATGGCGGGATACATTGTATTTTATCAAGATCACGTGGACAAATCAGATCTCATTATTCTGACATTGAGGTGTGATAACATGGTTTGTCTTGGTGTGGGAGGAAAGTGATGCATGCTGTAGACGTTACCACTGAGATGAAGCTGGCAGACTGAGGGTCATCAGGAGTTGGGGGTGGAGTGAGTGTTTGTTTCTTGCTTAACACCTCACTCAGCAATAATCCAGTTATATGATGGCAGTCTGTGACTGACATCATGAACATCGATCCACGCAATTGGGATCGATGACATGCATTAACCAAGTCAGCGATCCTGACCACCCGATCCCGTTAGTCACCTCTTATGACAAGCACAGCCTTTTATGGCAAGAATGGGTTGCTGAAGACCAATTCAACCATGGATCTTCACGGGGCTAAGAGTGAGTTTAGGTTAACACTTATTTCAATAGTATACTTCAGTTATGTCACAGCATGTCGGGTGGATGTGGGAGGAAACACTAACAATTCAGGTCTTAGATGTTTAATACTTTGGGGAAACCAGGTGTCGAGCCTAGTTAGGTTGCTGACAAACCCAGAAAGTTAATGACAAGGTACGAAATCAACATAACTTTGCTTGTCTGAGACAAGTAAATTAAAGAAGGACAAGTGACATTTCCTTGCAGACCATCACTTATCATTAGTAGCAGATCGTTTTTGTGGACGAGTAAAAAATAAAATATTTCTAACCCTGGATCATGCCTATGATACCAAACACTCCACAGCAAATTGTGGCACCTGAGATGATTTGAGTGAGTGAGTGAGTTGGGTTTAACGCCCCTTTTAACAGTATTCCAGTTATATCAGGGCGTGACAGCTTAATGTGGAAGGAAAGCTCGAAGTGATGCAGGCGTCAGACGTTTACCTCTTCGGTGAAACCCACGAGCACGGGTACGGTGCTGACAAACCTAGAAACATAATCGGGGTAAACCGGGATTCGAACCCACAACCATAGGTTTCTGGCGTGCCCAAGGGACGCAACTCTGCACAGCGAATTGCGGCGCCTCAGACGACTGGGCCACCCCTGCCCCCTGAGATGATTGGAAGGCCTGCACACCCTGGCAGCTTGGAGATGCAATTTTAACAAGTCATTGCATCCCCAAACACCTGCCATGCCCCTTGAGGATTAGTCACAAAAGACGACTAAATATTTGATGAAGACTCTACCAGTTAGATTAACACAGAGTCCCTGAAATACAGTCATGTCAAAGGTTAAGCAACAACAATCATACCACAAGAAACCCACAAGTATTAAAGGAACACCCTTGATCTATTAATTTCAGAGATCCCCCAGCTGACATGGTAGACTTGCTCCAAGGCTGTACTCAAATAGACCATGGATGTGTAGTCATTCTATCCCCATAGTAGGCAAGTCTAGAAACGCAGACAGTACAAGGACACCAGTCCTTTATGGGGACAACTTGTTCGAATTATTTATATAATCTAGAAATCATGATAAAACTAAAAATAATTGCCTTAGAGACTTGTGCAAGTCTACTGAAATGGGATGAGTACAGGCTGATTGAGCTGAGATGAGGAAAGAGTGGATTGGGGGTGAATATTTGTTAACATATGCCCTTGGAGCTGTAAGAGAGACAATCTACCTGTATACGTTATGTAATCAACACTATATGTAAATACAGTCTTGCACCATGGCTAGAAAATATGTAGTTATGAAAACAAAATGATCTACATTTATATAAAAGCAAGTCTAGATAGCTCAATTCCATATGAAAGAAATCAGGAAATTTATATTTTTTTAAATTTTAGAGGAGAGAAAAGTATTAAGTAATTAAAGCTTTCACAGACTCTATGTTAGTCCACTATAAATATTGAACAGTTGAAGTCTTCTGTAATATTTGACTCTCTCTGTTCCTCTCTACCAGGGCACCGTTCCACGAAGCGATCTTAGCGCTACGACTATCCTAAGCCAGTGTTAAAGGATGGGAGTTATGATCACCTTAGTGGTAAGATGGCTTTCTGGAACGGCGCCCTGGCCTCTAGATTCCAAGGTTTTTCTTTTCTCCAGCTGAACAACATTTCAGGTTACCCTAATTTGAAGGTTTGGATTCCAAAACCATAGGAGTGTCCCTCAAGCCTAACTGGAGTAGTGTTTATTCCCTTGCACAAGACTGGCGAAGCCTGCCAGGGAACGAACAGGATCTAATGAGCCAGGTGCAGAGAACTTACAACATATACACCTTGTTCGGGCCCGGCATTCGTAGATAACTTCACACAACTTCAAACATTGTAAGGCTAAATACAGACACTGTAGGGTGAGTCAGGAAAAAAAGCAGCTTCACTTACAAAATGTTACAGAGTATTTTTTTGCGACTCCAAAAAGGTTGAGGACCTGAACACACAAATTATTTATGATATTTAAATTCCTTTCCCAAACTATGGATTACAGAACGGTATTTTTAACACCTCAAAAACAGGTAGAAAGAAGGTACAATTGGCAAATTTAAACATTTATTTTCAAGGCCAAAATATAATTCTGTGTCTTAAACCTCTGCTGATTTCCACAAGCATATGTTCAAACAAAAAAATCACCAAGCTTAACGTCCTCGTAAGTCCTTTTCAAGGCCAGACTAAACTTAATAAAAAAAAATAATAGCACCCTCAAAGACGTTCATTTGAAAACCCTAGTTCTGAGATTTATTTAAGTACTGTTGTTTCTCACACTAAAATATGCAGATTGTTTAATCATTAACATCTTGGAAATTTTTAATGTACCGGGTACTTTTACTGATAAATAGAAATTAGTCTGTAGCCAAATTTGGTAGGACTAAAACTAACTAATATATTCAAGGCCTTTTCAAGGCCAATCATTGAATATAATGGCCATTACACGTTGTGTCTTTAGAAGTAGAGGTGTCTAATTGAAGGCCAATTCATTTAAGTCACATCTCTTACTGCGATACCTCTGTCATGGTGACTGATTTACGACACCCATTGTCTGAAGAACATTTGATTGCAAAGGCTCATTACCCGGATTCTCCACCAAATTAACAACGCGTGTCGGTCTGACGTTGATTAATCAACAATTTGCATACTCGTATATGCAAGGAGCCGACGTATGGTTCCTGTAGGAAGTGACAACTTGGAGACGATGGCTTGCGGTATATACAGTTTTACTTTATACATGTAGATATATACATACAAAAGACACTTTGTGCCAGGTCAGCACATAGTGGTTGTGGTTGTTGTCTTGGTGCCCCGGAGCACCCAGCCTAACCCTAGCTAGGCTAAGGGTAAGACCTTTCTTTTCCTCCTTCTCCTTTCAATCTTCTCTCCTCTCCTTTCCTCTCAATCATTCTGGACCAAGGCTTATATAGCCAAGGTCACCTGACATTTAGTAAGTAATAAATATAAATGTAAACAGTGAATCATCAGTGACATACTTGCACATCCTGTTCAGGATGGCAGACGGTCGATGTACACAAAACTGGGGATTAACAATTAGGATTAGCATCTTATAAATAACAGCAATTAAATGTTTCAAGGCATATAGATGTCATGGCTCCAGGGTAATGAGCCTTTGCAATCAAATGTTCTTCAGACAATGGGTGTCGTAAATCAGTCACCATGACAAAATTAACAACGCGTGTCGGTCTGACGTTGATTAATCAACAATTTGCATACTCGTATATGCAAGGAGCCGACGTATGGTTCCTGTAGGAAGTGACAACTTGGAGACGATGGCTTGCGGTATATACAGTTTTACTTTATACATGTAGATATATACATACAAAAGACACTTTGTGCCAGGTCAGCACATAGTGGTTGTGGTTGTTGTCTTGGTGCCCCGGAGCACCCAGCCTAACCCTAGCTAGGCTAAGGGTAAGACCTTTCTTTTCCTCCTTCTCCTTTCAATCTTCTCTCCTCTCCTTTCCTCTCAATCATTCTGGACCAAGGCTTATATAGCCAAGGTCACCTGACATTTAGTAAGTAATAAATATAAATGTAAACAGTGAATCATCAGTGACATACTTGCACATCCTGTTCAGGATGGCAGACGGTCGATGTACACAAAACTGGGGATTAACAATTAGGATTAGCATCTTATAAATAACAGCAATTAAATGTTTCAAGGCATATAGATGTCATGGCTCCAGGGTAATGAGCCTTTGCAATCAAATGTTCTTCAGACAATGGGTGTCGTAAATCAGTCACCATGACAACTTCCCTCCGTTACGTGAAGCTTGGACCCCAAGCTTACATGAGTCCAAATTGATATGTGTGAACTTTTTCACCAAGGAAAACAACCATGCAAATGTGAACAAAAATCAGTTACATGAAATCCTTATGCAACAAATATATCTATGCAATGGCGGTATGAAAGTGATCATCTAGCCAATTTGAAGTAGTGCCAGTTTGAAAACTAACCAAGTGATCTTTGTAATGTGCAATTTCACTACAAGGTAATTACCGCTTTTCACAGATTCAATAAATATATCACAGAAGGTTCTTTGAATTCAGGAGTCTGGCTTTGCGGTGCGACTCAGTACCAAATAATAAAAAGTACAAATTAAACATCTCAGCAAATATTTCGCATAAAGAAATTTGAAACCAGGAGTCTAGCTTTACCGCGTGACTCAAACGGTACTTGTGGGTACTATTGCCCTTTTAAGTACAATGGGTGCTCTTCCCGTGTCTTTGACGGAGCTTGCCCAGATATTGTGGGTGCGATGCC